CAGCCACTTTGCTTTCTTGCATTTCCTTTTCTTTCGGATGGTTTTTGTTGCTGCCTCCTGTACAATTTTAGAAGCCTCCATCCATAGTTCTTCAGGCACTCTGTCCACCAAATCGAGTTCCTTAAACCTGTTCTTCACTTCCGCTGTATATTCATAAGGGATGTGGTTTTGATTATACCTGACTAGCCTAGTGGTTTTCCCTACTTTCTACAGTTTAAGCTTGAATTTTGCTAGAAGAAACTGATGATCAGAGACACAATTAGCTCCAGGTTTTGTTTTTGCTGTCTGTATAGAGTTTCTCCAGGGAACATACTGTAATCAATCTGATTTCGGTGTTGCCCATCTGGTGATGTCCATGTGTTGTTTGAAGTATTTGTGATGACCAGCTTGTTCTCTTGATAAAACTCTATTAGCCTTTGCCCAGCTTCATTTTGAATTCCAACTTCCCTGTTGTTCCTTTTATTTCTCAACTCCCTACTTTAGCATTCCATCCCCTATAATGAGAAGAACATCTTTCTTTGGTGTCAGTTCTAGAAGTTGTTGTAAGTCTTCATAGAATTGGTCACCTTCAGCCTTTTTAGCATTGGTGGTTGGTGCATAAACTTGGATTACTGTGATGTTGAAAGGTCTGCCTTGGATTCTTAATGAAATCATTCTATCATTTTTGAGATTGTATCCCAGGATAACTTTTCCCCCTCTGTTGTTGACTATGAGGGCTACTCCATTTCTTCTACGGGATTCTTGCCCCCCAAAGTAGGTATGATAATAATCTGAATTGAATTCGCCCATTCCAGTTCCATGACGCCCAGGATGTCAATGTTTATTCTTGCCATCTCCTGTTTGACCACATCCAGTTTACCAAGGTTCATAGATCTTAGATTCCAGATTAACATGCTCTCCTTTATAATACAGCAATAAAATTACTTTGGTGTCCGTTAAGTTTAGAGACAGGATGGGGTGAAAAATCTGTCCAGTGATGCAAGTGGATCAGTAATACAAGCAACAGGCTCAGTCCTCTTGGGCAATACAAAGTTGAGAAAAACCTAACAAGTTTCTTTTAGCAGCAAGTCAATAAATGCATTTGTAACACCTTGAGGGATAAGAGTTTGTCTTGCGTAAGCTTTTGTGGAACTGGAGATTAATTTTAAAGGAGGCGTTATGTTACAAAATGCAATAGAAGCCAGTCTCATCTAGAAACTAGGGTTTAAAATTCAGTGCAAACATGAGGGAAAATCACCTTCCATATTGCTTATACAGAAAATAATCTAAATCTTTTTCTCAAGGGTTCCCTCTTCTGGTTGCTTAATTAGAGGCAAACACACGAAACTAAGTATTTTGTCATCAGAATGTTGTTTACCTATTGTAGAAACAATAGACAAGAGTTCCAAGGTAGTGTTTGAATTAATCTATTAAGGAAAAGCAAAGAAGTCTTATGGCACATAAAAACCTAAGGAGCCTTATTTGGCATAATTCATGGACTGTAAAGGCATTTAATCACTTGCAATCACAGACACTTAGGTGCTTTCTGGAGGTCAGAAAAGAGCAAAACAGCACTAAAAGTTCCAGTGAGGCAATGCTTACAATAGTAGTATCTAGTTTTATAGGGACAGGGACGGCAAGATCTTGTTGGCAGAGTATTTGGGGGAAACCCAGACCCTGTAAATCATTTTTTCTGCCTTGAAAGCAATAGAAATTACTGCAATGTAGTTTACATGTTTGTACATTAACCAGCAACAGTATAATACCGAGGCTCAGTGCATCCTGTATTAGACAGCAAGTCTGAAATGTCCTTAACAATAACTTCTGTTGTAGCTAGGCAATAAAACTAATTCACAACGTCTGTGGGTTTCTTCGAAATGTTCTAGAAAGCAGATCCATTTACTTTCATATTGGTTTATTTATCACCTTGTTTTACAGTCTTTATCCCAAACAACTCTGTAAAATCATTATTATCACAATTTTGATGAACAGAAGATCAAGAAAATCTGCCTCCAGTATAACAGCAGATCTAGTTATTCTTTATGCTTGGTAAGTGCTAGGCTGATTTAAAAAACCTGCTTAATAAGGCGTGGACTAGCAGAGTCCTTTGAGAGCAGATATTCTGATTTCATTTTCATGCTTCAGTCATAAAAAAATTGATTAAACATTTCAAAAAAATTATGTAGCCTGTACTATTATGCATATTTCTGCACACTGCTCCTATTAAGTTTCTCCGCAAAACAAGATATTTAACATTTATACCCAACTTCATGCATTTATTCAGAAATTCAACTGAATTTAATACTTTTCCCAATTAAATGCATTAAGAATTTCACTTCACCATCGCACTGCATTTTGAACATATCAAGCTGCCTTATATCAAGCATGACACATGTTTTATCTAGGCTGATATTGTTTCCTGTGCCTCTTTTACCACTAGTACTCCTCCATGGCCTCATGTACAGGTATTTCTTAACTTGGCTACAAGATCCTTTTGAAGACGTACTACAATCTGAGCCCAGCATCTATCTAAACGCAAAACATTTGTTTTATTACTAAACAGCTGTCAACTTCTCCAAGTGTCAAAAAGCAGGCACGTGATCAAAACATTATTAGGTAGTAATACCTGTGCTTATCCATTGACAAAAGTGTTCTTCAAAATATCCTTAATCTCAGGGAGGTCAGCAAGATGAAATTGAAAAATGCAAATGTGTGGTTTAGCAGGGTTTAGATACTATTCTTGTTGGGTTTTTTCCTTCAGGATTGTCTCCAGGAATTCAGGATGAAATTGCTAGGTCTAAATGATGTCATGTGCTCTGGTAACAAAAGTAATCCTCACTGTGAATCAATAGGATTTACTCTTGGTTCTGTAGGCATAGAACGGCAGCCATGGGATGATTTAAACAATTCACCAGAATAAAGTGTCAGTACTTTATTCTGAAGGTCTTTTTATCTTAAATATTAGTTTAAAACAAGGAAACATAAAATGTAAGATATTTTATTAAATAATTGAAGAAAAGGTTCAAGAAATTGTGATAAATTGGATTTTGGATCTTTAGGATTTATATGAGACAATAATTGAAGTTTATTTAGCATACACACTGATCAATCAAATGGTCCTCTTCAGATGAAATTAAGTTCGGTCCTCAAACTGTGCCTTATTTTTTAAGAGATAAGCCGCTAGAAATTCAATAGGATTTGGTGGTCTGAAAAGGAAAAAAAAAGATAGCAATTTCTTGTACACCTACTTATTTTAACTTCAATGATCTTATTTTATTTTGATGCATTACCTAATTTGGCATAAAAGAGACAGTAGCTAAGTAGAAACATTTGCTGTTTTTCAAATCTGAGTCAGAATGCCTATTTCATATTTTTCTCTCTGTTTTGTCAAGTACAGAAGTGGGGTGTGTGAATGCACATGTGTCCCTTTTCTGTTGGGGGCTGCATACCAGAGATGGACAGTTTGAGACAGCACTGGGTGGAGCCACCACTGACAGTAGGTGGCACCACCCATTTACTATCCTGAATTCTAGCATCTTTCATTTTATATCATAGTCCATACTTCCCAGTGCTGTAATCTTCATCCCTATTGTTCTTTCGCTGCCTCTCTTACCATGTAGGATTTTTCCCCCAAAACATACTTAGCATATTTAATGACTTCCTATCTCTTTGATGCTGCAAACCAGATTGCCTAGCTTTTTTTTAATAATTATGGAGAAAAGTGCAACTTCAATGGCCAAAAGGAAAATGCAGGAGGAAAAACAACTCAATCTGTCCCTGCTCCAATACTTTCCTCTGCTTCTGGGGTAGCCACAAAGGAAGAAATGGCCCTTCCTAGGCTCTCTCCTGTTTCAAATAGCACTGTAACCAAGGCACAGAATGCTCTATGAGTCCAGTATTAAAATCTACTCTATTTCTGTGCTGGATAAGCTGAGGATTGAGTCAGAGGAAGTGACAGAGGCTATGGGATAGATGCAACGGTGTCATAGGGCTTAACCAGTCCATGGGCCACAATAATACATGTTTCCCAACCTTTTATTATAGGTTACATTTGACAACTGTGAAACAGTGAACTGATAGCGATGTATGATTTCATGTGGTACGATTTCATATAGAGCAATACTGAATACTGCTCCCTTTTCCAAATGTCAGTTACCAAGAGCTCCTTTTACCCTCCTCCCTCAGAATTTTACAGAGAAACTTGCATAAACATCTACAATATCCATGGTGATAACTGAATTAAAGCTGACTATTAAGAATCATAACTGTTTTCAGATTCATAAACTAGATCTCTAGAGTAAACTTTGAGATCTTCTAAATTGAAAGCATATAGTTCATTTCTCTGAAATAGCAAATGAAGTAGGAGATCTATGGACTAGAGGGTTTAAAAATTCAGGAGAGGACTTACATGAACAAATTCTCTATACACTGACAGTCCTTTAACCTACAAAACTGTCATGTAGAGAGCCAATCTAGTTTGTGCGCAACTTTTTGGTATAGAAGATAATTCATTCACCTGAGCCCCCAATGTTATTTTGGAATAGTATGGCCCAGATATATACAGTGGTGCCTCTCTTAGTGATGTTAATTCGTTCTGCAAAAATTGCTGCAGAACGAAAACGTTGCTATGCGATATTAAAAAGCCCATAGAAACTCACTGAAACTCCTTCAATGCGTTCCTGTGGGCTTAAAACTCACAGTTGAGCGAAGATCCTCCATAGCACCGCCATTTTCGGTGCCTCTAAAGCGAGGAATCAGTCTCAAAAAACAGTGGGTGACCATTTTGTTTGAAACCGCCGATCAGCTGTGCGAAAATGGGGGCTTTGCAATGATCACTTCCCTGAGATCATCGCAAAGTGAAAATACCCCACAGGGAACATCGCAAAGCGATCACTTTTGCGATTGCACAAAGTCCACCGCAAAGCGATTTCGTCGTAAAACGGAGTGATCGCTATGCGAGGCACCACTGTATTTACCAACCCATCTAGGTTGTGTTTTTTTAATTTTATTTTTAAACTAGACCTATATAAAGCATATAAACAGAAAAATTAGTTAGGTATTTCTAAATCCAATGATGAAAGAAAAAAGTAGTACTGTACCTCTCTTTTGCAAGCACTGCAAGTCCCTGTAATAGGATAGGCACAACTGTCTGATCCAGATAGGCACGTGTAGGCAGTGACTGAAGGTCCACTTTCTGCTTTGATGTTTTCTCTGCATTTGCTTTCTCATTCTCCACTATTCGCTTAAAATGCAAAGCACACACTTCATGAAGACAGCAAAACAGTATTTTAGTTGCAAGCATGAAGACATGCATTGCTCAATTCAAATGGCCAAGAAGTGCCCAACTATCTGAATTTTTTTCTTCAGTCTATTTAACGAGTAGACGTTGTCTAGAGGGGCGGGGTAGAAATTGAATCAATCAATCAATCAATCAATCAATCAATCAAATGGTTTCATTTTCTCTAATCAGTCATGTGAAACTTGAATTATAAAAGATTATTAACTTCTTTCATTACTGACTTTGGCTCTAAGGAGTATCACTGTGCAGCCTAAGTTCACGCATTAAATACAGTTAAAACGGATTCTTAGTTACTTCAATTCAAAGCTTATAACAAAAAAATACACACAAATGTACAAAAACATGCCACACAGTAGCATCAGTCTAAGCACATATATTATATATATACTGAAGCAATAAACTATACAACACATTTTGTTGTATTACATCCAAAGAAAGCACTTGTTTGATTTTATCTGAAGAAAAGCTAATACAATTTTCTCTCATTCTTGGTGCCACTTCACAATAAATATCAGATATTATATGGCCACAAGAGGCAAGCTACCATAATTAATGACTTGCCTGATACCTTCTTACCAACTTCATTTTGCTATAACAGTGGTAGACGATATTTTGCACATAGGTACCAAGGTAAGGCTAATCTTGATTATTAGTATAATCTTAGTTACCTCTACATTCTCTGTAAGACCATATTCTGCATGAGGATTCTCTGGAACCTGCAAAAATGACATATAATTATGAAATACAATTAAAATATTTAGATATGTTTGAAAAACACAGGTTCATTAAAAGTGATATTGTTGGAAGCTTATATTACCTGTGGCTGGCTCTCCATAATCTGTTCTGTGTCCATGATGCGTAAAAATTACCTAATATAAAATGATCTTTGGGGAGAAAATTTAAATTTTAAAAAGGTTAATTGAACTGTGACATTTAAAAGCTCATAACACAAAACACAATCCATAACCAAAGTGCTATGAGCAATTGAGAGAGCTTATTGGAATGGATTCAGATTTTTGCTAAATGCACTTTTTCCACATAAAAACAAATAGATATCTTACGAAGAACAGAATGGTGCCTTAACTGCTTTGCACTGTAAAAACTATTTGGGGTGGTAGTGGTCTGAAAAATGACAGAGAGATATATTATTGAATGATCATAAATGATGCGTAGAAATGTGGGTGTAGATAAGAGCTGTAAAAGCTTACTCCAAAGCAAACCCCACAGATTGAACTGAGGCTGGCTCCTAAGAAACCATACATGGGATTGCAGCCCTGTTTACGTACCCTAAGGAACGCTTTGTCCATAGTGCGCTCCCCTACACTACACACTAAGAAGCACCTCAAACCGTCCATACGAGAGCCATTACTCGACCTGCCTGCTATTCGGTTATTAAGACTACTAAATTGAGAAGGCGGGAGAGGACCGGATCCCGGCTGCATCACGGAAACACGAGCGCCGGGATCTCGGGTTTCCAAGCAAAGGCCGGGCAAGCGGCGGCTGGGACTCGGCTCGAGAGACTCGCCTCCTCACCTCCGAACAGCCAAGCAGTATCGGTTCGGGAGCGAACCCAGAGAGCAAGGGCCTGTCGCGAAGCAACGGCCAAAACAACCGTCGATGCAGGTCGTGCGCAGGCTGACGTGCTTCGCTGTGTCGCAAACGAGAGGAAAGAACTGTCGTAAATCACGGGCCACGAGTACGCCTGCGTGAGGACCAACGTCCCTTACTTACTTCCTCTCTAGAGGGGGATGCGAAGATGTCGATACTCCCAGGAAAGGTGGCTTACTGAGTCTGTCCTAGCTCATCAATAGAGTACGTGCTTGTGCATTCAGAGTAAAACCAATCATCCAGCCCATAAAGCAGAAGTAACTGAGCAGCAGAAGGAAATCGTCACTAATCAAATCAGATTCGAAAATAAAACGTGCTCACATCTCAGAGTTTGAAAAGGTTCACACCTACAAGTAGGAAAGGTGTTTTAAAAATGATTAGTTACAGCACTTAGTCACCCGATAATTAGCTAGCAATATATGCGTTTTAAGATTTTTCTTGAATTCTTGATTTTCTGGCTACTGGAAAGTGGAACAGTTGCCTTTCATTTTTTTTCCTTTTTGTTATAAAAAGTCACTGGCCTGTAACACAAAGCACACTTTAAACCAGTTATATTGCACTGCAAAAGGCATGAAGTTACCTTTCACCGCACTTCAGACATAACAGCGAGATTGCTGTTGGCATTTGTGCAAGCATCCCCCTTTCATGGAATGGTCTCCATCACACTCAGTTTTGCACTAATTGCAAATTATGAGGTCAATTCTACAAAAAAACAGACTGCAGGAGAAAAATGTCTTCGCTATGGTTTTTGCCCATATGGATTTTCTCAAAAAGAGCCTGTTGTATGTAACTTAGCTATGCCTTAGACTAGAGATTTCTTTTACAGGAATTAATCACATCGAACTATTTCCTTGTTCTTATGTGAGCTGGAGGAAAGAGGCAAAGAGAAGAAAGAGAGTGAGTCATTCCCTACCACGTCTATAGGGGAGGGTAATGACAGAGAGGTAAAGAAAGTGACAAAAGAAGTGAAAGGACTGGAAGCAGAAGAAAAGAGAGAGGAGACAGAGAAAGAGAAAAAGAGGGTAGATGTGTTCTCGAGGTCAGAAGAGACAAGAAAAGTGAATGTGTGGGAAGAAGCGAGACAGAAGGAGGAAGACGTACCAAGAATATTTAAAATGCCACAGAGAAAGGAGACAAAAGATGAGATATGCAGAACAGTAGAAAGAGGAAAGAAAGAAGGAGAATTAAAGATATCCTTAGAAGGGCTAGGACTGGAGGAATGGACTGTGTTAGTATATCCTTGGAGATCCTTGGAGGAAGGTGGTCCATTCAGGACTTGTCCTACCGAATCAAAAGCCACCGGAGGGAGACTGGTCTCGTCACCTCTGTTGTGGGACTATCTGTGTGGTGAGGAGTGGCTCCTTACGAAATCCAAGGGATCAAGAGCGATTCGGACCCTCTCCCTATTGAGGAAAGATTACCGTGGCAGTTTACCTTTGTTGTGGACTGAGTTACCTGTAGACCTTGATCATGTTGACCCTACAGAAGTTGTTATTGACAAACCCAATAGTTCTGTTAATAAAGACTTTATTGTTAAAAAATTGATTTCTCCGTCTTTTCCCGCCAAATTTAAGGAACTATCGTACGCTAATGAAGAGCCCTATCACATCTTACAGGATAACACAGTCTGCTCTAGCTAGGGAGTTCCAGAAGTGCTGCAGAGAGAGATCTGTCTTGCATAGCCATAAATCTGACCTGAATTTGTGGTCAGAGGCACCACACTCTCATCTGAAGATATGGAAATAGCAGGGCTGAACACTAGAACTGATGAAGTGAGCTGCAGTCTATGCACGTTTATGCTGTACATGTTTATGCTTTTTGGACTTTAATGTACCCCAAGATTATTTGTTGTTTTGACTGGGAAATTAGTCATTGGACCATCCTCTTCAACATAGTTCTTTAATTTAGGATAACTTGATCTGTGCATTTGACTTAATGCTGACTGCAGTACATATGAGTGTGAACAGTTAACAGATTCTACATGTCTTGGTTTCTTATATAGAACCTAAATTTTCTCTCAAAAGTAAACAGTTTGATCCAGAATGAATTCATGAGTATTTTTAATCACATTTCTGTAGATGTGGGCTTTCTGATGTCTTTATATAAGCAAATATTTATTATCCTGTTGGTTTATAACCCATCCTCTGATCAAATTATTTTGAAAGTGGCTTATAACAGGTCATAATAGTACACCCACATCACACATGAACTCTCTCCCTTACAAAACACCATGCTTCATCACTTGATCCTCTGGTGAGCCAGAATGCATTACTGGGTAACCACTTTCAAACAGCAAGTAGCAGTTGGAACCCAGTGTTCTTTCAGACAGGTGTGAGGAACCATAGGTAAAGGTTCCCCTTGATAAATTAGTCATCATCCTCTTCAACATAGTTCTTTAATTTAGGATAACTTGATCTGTGCATTTGACTTAATGCTGACTGCAGTACATATGAGTGTGAACAGTTAACAGATTCTACATGTCTTGGTTTCTTATATAGAACCTAAATTTTCTCTCAAAAGTAAACAGTTTGATCCAGAATGAATTCATGAGTATTTTTAATCACATTTCTGTAGATGTGGGCTTTCTGATGTCTTTATATAAGCAAATATTTATTATCCTGTTGGTTTATAACCCATCCTCTGATCAAATTATTTTGAAAGTGGCTTATAACAGGTCATAATAGTACACCCACATCACACATGAACTCTCTCCCTTACAAAACACCATGCTTCATCACTTGATCCTCTGGTGAGCCAGAATGCATTACTGGGTAACCACTTTCAAACAGCAAGTAGCAGTTGGAACCCAGTGTTCTTCCAGACAGGTGTGAGGAACCATAGGTAAAGGTTCCCCTTGATATTTAGTCCAGTCGTGTCCCCGTTTCCAAGCCATGGAGCCAGCGTTTGTCCGAAGACTGTTTCTGTGGTCACGTGGCCAGCATGACTAGACAAGGAAAGTCATTACTGTAACAGCCTCCTTATACCTCACAAAGGGGCTGTTACGTCACACTCAATCACTCCTCGTTTCCATGCCACCAACCATTCCCTCAAATGAATCTTCAGGCCAAAGTATGATTTCAAAATAAAAACTTAGGTTTATTGTATACAAACAAAAGGAATGGTAACTCACTTGAATATAAATAATACTTTAATCACTATAATAATATAACAATCACACACACACTCTCACAGACCCTCACTATGTAGCACAGTTCTTATCTCTCAGTATCTCCAAGCCCTAACCGTCCCTATGTCAAAGCCCTATCTGGCCCTATCGGCATCTCTCACACCATTCACTCCCCTTATATACAACAGCTCCACCCCTTATGTCCCACCCTCCATCACGCCATTGGTAGATGACACACAGCTTCAGCAGTGACGGGCAGGTGATGTCATAGCTGTATGTAACAATTACCTTCCCACCAAGGTGGTACCTATTTATCTGCTCACATTTTTACATGCTTTCGAACTGCTAGGTTGGCAGGAGCTGGGACAAGTGATGGGAGCTCACTCCGTCATATGGATTCAATCTTATGACTGCTGGTCTTCTGACCTTGCAGCACAGAGGCTTCTGCAGTTTAACCCGCAGCACCACCACGTCCCTATGAAGAACCATAGATCACTGTAATTGCTGCTTCCTTAATCAATGCATTATGTCGACAGACTGATCAATCGTTGATCAGGGAGGAATAGCTTACTGGCGGCAGAGCTTGTTTCCCTCGTCAATGGTAGTACAGACTACCGTATATTGTCCTTCCCTTCAGCTTAACCCTTTCAGGACACTTTCGATAAACAGCAAGCAGACTGAAGGAAAGAGCATTTATTAGAAACATATTTTTTCAACCCAGTGCAACTACTCATGTCAATGACTATATCTTTGTACTATAAGAGACAGAATTGCCAGGTCTCAGGGAGTTGCTACGCTATGGAGAAGGATTTTTATACATATGTGTACAGTATTGTGAATTTGCTTTAAAGACAAGATATACATGCTAATTTGTTCTGCATCATCAAGTCGGAACGACTTGTAGCGACCCTAATACGGCTTTCTAGGGAAGTGAGAGACGAGTTCCACACACCTCTTGAGTTCCCATGGCTGAGTCAGGCAGGATTCAAACCCAGGCCTCCTGAATCTCTCCTATCCACACACCACCCATTGTGCGGAGAGCTGCATTGCTTGATGGGATTTGTAGTCTACGGCTCTCTATTTTAGATTGCCTGTTGCTGGCCACGCCCCCTATTGTCACTTCAGCAGTTCGCGCAGGCGCGAATTAACAATAGTTCCTGTAGCGGGGAACGGCCGTTACGGGCTCCTTATTCAGGAAGGGTCGCTACGTTGTGGTCCTCGTGCGCGCGCGCGGGTGTTACCGTACGTGTGCCTGAGGGGCCGAGCGAAAGGGGCGTAGCCTCGGTCATGGCCGGCCCGCGCGGGTGCTTGTTGTCAGTCCCTGGCCGCGGGTTATGGCGACGACCGTGGTGAATGAATTCTCCGGGCGGGAGAGGGAAAAAGAAGGGCTTCGCCGCCGCCTCCAGTTCCCCGACCCGAGCCGCCGGGGCCTCCCCTTCGGCCGCGGCCGGGCCGGCTCCCTCCGCCCAGCATCCACCTCAGCCGGCAGCGGTGGCCTCTCCTCACAAGCGGAACCTCTATTACTTCTCGTACCCGCTGTTCGCCGTCTTCGCGCTGCTTCGCTTCCTGGCCTTCCAGCTCGGGCTGCTCTTTGCTTGGCTCTGCGAGCGCCTCTCCCGCGGCGGGGCGCTCATGGCAGCCGCCAAAGGCACCCCTGGCAAGGCCGGCGCCGTCGACGCGCCCAAGGGGGCGCGGGAGACCCAGTGAAGTTCGCCTCAAGCCGGGCAGGTCACCAGGGAGGCGTCCTTGACCGTCTGGTTTTTATATAGGAGCTTAAAGAAGGAGTTCCGTTAGCAGCACCTCGCGCCGCTCTTCTACTACTTTAAGGTTATATAGCATTGTCGCCGGATTTGTTGTGTCCGCTCCCTCCGAGTCGCTCTTGAGGTTGCTGGCGGGGGGGGGGGGGGGGCGGGCTCCTTTAGCTTTGAGTCCTTCTCTGTTCTGTTAGGGATGGTTTGCCAGTGCAGACGGCGAGTTAGGCCTCTTTTCTCAGTAGGAATTAAATACGATTGCTGTGATCACGCACAGGTAGACTGGGGGTCGTGATGTAGAAGGGATTGATTGCATTAGAAGGGAAAGCTCGGTGGTCTTTTCACACCGCCCGGGAAGAGCAAAGTGTTCCTCTGTGTGGAGGGTATTGACATGAAGGGCTTGTGGGTGGAGTCCATTTGACGGAGGTTTTACTGTGCATTTGAAAGAGACTTTGTGTACTACCCGCATAGTCTCTTTGTTCTCTGGTTCAGCTTGCACTCCTAGGGTTTTATCATCACACACTTGCTCTGGTTTCTTCTGTTATTCTGTCCCTGCTACATCTCAAAGGTCCACTGAATTATTTGTGTGACTGGCCATGTTGAAGAAAATGATACCTACATAATGGTAGGGATTTGAGGCAACCTACACATACAGTAATGGTTTTCTTGGTGGTGCTGTTGGGCTGGTATAGTAACCTAGGAGGAGTTGCAAGTCTTGTAAAGGAAGAGGAATGAGTTAGAAAGTACATGTTATGACTTGTCCGTATATTTTACTTTTTGTATTCGCGAAGGCTTTCACGGCCGGGATCTAATGGTTGTTGTGGGTTTTTCGGGCTCTTTGGCCGTGTT